GTGAGTAGCATTTGCTGGGTCGCTAACAAGGAGTCGTTTTTTACGACTTATAAAGCATTAGCTGGGAAAGCTACGCGGCGCCAATGTGGGAGAAACTTTAAACCTGCCGAATTGCTGCTCTAAGAATTTCAACAGGTTGTGTCATCATTATGACACCGACTTCCTCCATCCAGGGGATATCTACTTGATGTTTCAACTCCCTCATTTCCAATTTAGCACTTTACATAACATATGCTCTGCATAGGGAATAAGACCACACGATACGTTGCACTTTTTCAACTAGCCAACTAAGCCTTCGCACCACCACCACCACTCTACAAATTCCATGTTGAAGCATCTCATGCAGGCTGCAACCTTCATGAATTTTGATACAGAGGAGCCAGAACAAAACAATCGGTAGCAAATTCTCTTGTATTTTAATTATCCTGTATTTCAGTAGCTTTGAGAATTAACTAAAGAACTGACCTCATATCGACGCCTCCGAACCATAGTATGCTATGTCGACTTAACATGTTTTAAAGTTCTTTACGTTTTCAGATACTACGGTCCTTAATGTAATTTCACTGAAATTTTGGTAATCATCGGCCAATCCAAACCAATGTTATAAGCAAAAATGTACTTAGCATGGCACGTACGATTAAAGAAACTTCCATACTTTGAAAGATTCTACTGAAAAACTCACATTTCAGACTTAGCATACTATGGTTCGGAGGCGTCGATATATGTCTAACCATTATCCTCGAAAAATATTTTATTATAATTCATAAAAATGCTAACTAACAGACCTTTAACATGTCGTTGGCCAAGTAAAACTCAAGTGCTTTCGAATCGCATAACCACCCCACTGTCGTGGAAACGATATATACATACGAAAGCTTTTTCACAATAAGCTGAAGTGACTGTCGTAAAGCTCGGAAGATTTCGGATCGCATACCCCACTGTCGTGGAAACGAGGTATACAATACATGTAATTAGTCTGACTGCTGATTTTATTACGACAGATGCGCATCTTTAACATAAACATAATATGGATTTTTGTAAGTTAAAAATATTTTCAAAAAATGTAAAGAAATAAAAAATAAAATAAAAACAAATAACATGGTTTTTTTTTTCAAAAAAATACAATTAAACAAATTTATTTCTTTTATTATTATTATTTTTTTTTCACACAAAAAATTAAATTAAAAATAAAATAAAATTAAAAAATAATAATAAAAATAATTTGTAAAATATTTGTAATAGTTGTTGATTGATTTTTTTGTTTTGTTGTTGTTTTTTATATATATAGTAATTTAATTAAATTAAGTTTTCCAAAAAAAATATATATAGTAATTATTTCTTATTTAATTTTATTTAAAAACTAATAAAGTTTATAGGTTTTTTTGTTGGTATTTTCAATGAAACCAAAAGGCAAAATAATTCAGATGTATGTTTTTTTTTAATGGGGGCGCAAAGTAAAGTTTTGAACTAAGTGAAAACAAAGTAGTTTATTAAAAAATAATGCACAACGTTGCTCTTTTTTTAAAAAGGTGATAACCTGTGATAGTAGAAAAAGAAAAACAAGTAGTAACAGCAGATGTTGTAATAAATTCATTCTATAGAAGGAAAAAAATAAATAAATTGCATTAGAATGAATATTTAATATGTAATGGATTGTTAGGTTTTGAGTGGGAAACAAAAAAGTAAACAGCATAGGAAAATAGGGGGAAAAAACAAACAGCTCAGCCAGCGGAGCAAAATTTAAAAATAGATTTTTGTGAATTTTGTTTTAAATTGGACCATTATGTTGTTGTGGCTTTTTAATTTCAAATATTATTGCAAGTAAAAGGTCTAATTTTTTTCATTAACTATATTTGTTTGTTATTTAATTTAATTGTAATAAAGCAGAAAAACCAAAAAATAAAAAATGTACTTTCTTATGCTATAAAAATCCAACAAAAATTCATTTAAAATAGATCTAACAAAAAGAAATTTAATTATTTTAGATAAAATTATTATTTAATGGTGTATGAGGTGGGTATCCAAAATTATTAGGAAAAAGGCATTTTTTGAAGTAGTAAAAAATGTATAAATAATTTTAATATAACAATAATATAAGCAATTTTTGGATAACCGTTTTAATTTTTTGTTTCGGTTTTGTTTTCTTATTTTGTGTGAAATTTTGTTCATTTGTTTTCCCGGAAAAAAACTCCATGGTTGAAAATAACCTCTCTTAATTGTGAATTGGTTTCTTTTGTTGTGTGTATTACAATTTTAATTGTTTGGAGATATGGATCAAAATATCAGTTGATTATAACTTCACTGGCCTGAAACCAAAACTATATTGTTTATATATATTTAATTACTCAGAGATTATGTCAGAGAGTTAAGGTTTTTAATTTTTAGCCATTCAGGATAAGGTATTTTCATATTTGAAATAATTAAAACGGATAAATATTTCTCAACATCACATCAGATGTATACTATTACACCTGAGTCACAGTTATTAGCTCATCAAGTTGGTCAGAGGATTTAATTTGTTGATCTTAGGGAAATCAAAATATTTCAAAAAACGAGATATTAAAATCGTATATCTTTTAGATTTTGAAGACATATCTTAGCTGTGTTTATTACTCCTAAGGAGACTGCGACAACTCTACTTCTGTTATAAGAAAGGGCAACAAATTCAAAAACTGTAGATTAATTAGGTTACGATTTTTTATTTCAGACAAAATGTGAACAAATTCCAAATTAGAAAACTCTAACAAGAATAAATTTTTTTATTGGATTCCCAAAAGTTGTGAAAATGTAATCTTTACGAGTGATGGGAGGTTGTTTGAGTCATGCGCGACAATAATTACAGCATTGACCAATAAAAAATAGGCCTCCAGGAGCTTGATTTTTTACAGTTAGGTATCTATCGATTATATCTAACCTGTCAAGTTAGGTGCTAGGATATATTGTGAAGAAAAATTGAAAGTTCCAACATTACCTTGGCAGCCTTTGTTGTCAAGGATTGGGGTTGCTATAACAAGTTACAATTACCACAATACATAATTGAATGTTTGGTTTGCGAACTTCTGAAAATCAGAATCATCAATCGATGTATTGTTGAGAGTTTCATAAAGGTCCTTCTAACGAAAAACTTAGGCAGCTTGCAGGTTGAGGCGTTGCTGGCAACTTTCCTATTGAATATTTCGTTAGCGAACTTCTGAATATGAGAATCATCAATCTAAGTGTAGTTGAGAGTTTGGTAAAGGCCTTTTTAGCGAAAAACTAAGACATTTTGCAGGATAGGGCGTTGCTGGCAACTTTGCTATAGTTCCTGATGATTTGTGAAGTTTAACCAAAATAAATGTTAAACGATGACCTATGTCTATGAACTTGTAAACTCATTTCCAACTTCAGGCAAAGGTGCAATGGATGTACTGTTCGTTTGGGCTCCAAACATTGCACAAATTCCACAAAGATAACCAAATGTTGCCGAGTTGTAAATCTTTTTTTTTTGAAAAAGGATTATCTCTCAATCGAATTTACATTTTTTAGAAGTCTGAAATTTCTATATCTTATCGAAAATGCAACATCCTTGACGACTTTTTTTAAGAGTTGAACAAACGATATTGGAAGGCAACTGAATTTTGAACCCCAAAAACCCAGATTCACAATTATATACAAAAAACACCATAGTAATCTCTCTCTAGGAATTGGATTGTCAAAAAAACTAAGCCGAGTTAAAAAAAAACACAACTCATAAACGTAAGGTGAGGGTAAACAAATGATGAGATAAAAACGACAGTTTTTTCCCACACTCCTTATGCAAGTTATAGGTTAGTATGTTTTGAAACTGGGAAAAAGGGAATCCCAAAACAACTTCACTGAGTCGAGTTGTAGACTATTTGAACGGCGGCTTGTCAATGTCTGAAATATAACAAAGCAAATTGGAAATTGTTTATATATCGGCATGGGGAAAACATTGCGGGCTTAAAAAGTAGCCTATTTAATAGAATTCTAAATATCGAAACGAAAGCAGCATGACTTGGTAAACAATGTCATAAAGACAAGGAAGATGCATAGAAAACTATCTATCGATAAAGTAGAGTTCTTATAATTCTCAAAATGCTAACTATTCAAATTCTCTAGGAGCTTGATACTATGCCCTCTTAATCGATTTATAGGTGTGTACATTTTGAAACCTCATCTAATATCTCATCTAATCAAATTTGAAATGATTAATATTTCTGGTTTATAGAGGTCTTCTTCAAGGTCTGAAAGTACGACGATTTTTCTTTAGTTTCATGGTATCCTGAGTGGCAAAAATGTAACCATCTTGACTTGTAGAATCTGAGGTTTTATTTCAGGACGTATATTCTCATTCATTAATTTCACATCTTGACTCCAAGACATGTTACAGATTAAAAAATTGACAATTTATCTAGCCCATGGAATATTATTGGCAATACAACATATAATGGAAACACCACTCATGTTACCACAAAATTCCATGAATCTGTAATACATCGTGGCTTTTTCTAGTTATTCAAGAAACCAAAAAGCTAAAAAATTTTGAAGCTTTACAACCAAATTCAGGAGCAGATTATTCCGTGAAAATGAACAGATTTTTTCTTTTGTGTAAAATAAGAACTATTAAGAAAAAATGGAAAGGAATATCATTTAATTTTCATAGATTTTGTTGTTGTTGTTGCGGCTTTATAAAATAGTAATCGTTGTTGTTGTTTTAATTATTGTTTGGTAATGTGATTGAAGAAGAAAAAGGTATTTGTATCTAAAAACTAATAAATGCTACACAAAAAGAGCTAATTAAAATTACAAATTAAAAAAAAGTTAATAATGAACAGCAATTTTTTCTTTCTTTGCACTATAAACTAATAAAAAAAATTCTTATACGTATATGTAAAACTGAAGAAATAATAATAAAAAAGAAAAATCAAATATATTATCTATAAAAAAATAGGTTTATGATGTGAAAAAAGGTATTTTTGCATTTTGTTGTAGTTTAGGGGTTTGTTTTTGTTTAGTTAAAAATCTATGCAGCCGTATCAACCTCTTCGACAATATGATTTGGTGATACTTCACTGGGGGCTGTCGATGCACTGGCCACACTAATTGGTGTTTGATTGTTGTTGTTATTATTATTGTTATTTGCAGCATTAATTGAGCTATTTGTAGCGCCGCTTAAACTGGAGCCGCCATTGGCAGCATCGACAGAACCACCGGCTGCTGTTGTTGCTGCCGCAGAGGTACTGGTGGTGCTGCCAACAACTCGTGCTCCATATGGTGCACCTTTTAGTTTGCGTGCTTCCCGCTTCTGCTTACGTTGTTGCATAACCAGACGCAATTGATCCAATTTGGATTTGGTCTTCATGTTGTCCATTTCGGTAGCACATTTCTGGCAGGTATGTTCACGTTCTCGTTCGCCGGTTTCACTGTGAATGCGATAGCGGCATTGACACACCTTACGTTCATCGACCATCACCTGGTGTTGTTGTTGGTGCTGTGGGTGATGATGATGATGGTGGTGGTGCGACGATGAAGAATGGTGATGGCCATTTACCACATTGGCGGCATCTGGCTGACAACATGGATAGCTCTTGCTAGATTGTGATTTACTAACATAGTGACCATTGCATTCGCCATAACTGCATATGGGTGAAGATGTTGAGGAGCCACCATTAATTGACGACGACGAGGAGGAGGAAGCACTATTGTTATGCGATTTAATGCATTTGACACAGGAAGGATGTGAAGAGTGATGATGCTTCGACGAAAGCTGGAAATGGGAAAAGAAAAAATAAATTAATGGAGGAAATTGTAGAGAAAAAAATAAGAATTAAAAACGTCGTTAAATTTGGCCGGACCAAACTTTTTATATTTATTTAAAATATATTTAATCATTCGGGAAAGATTTGACAACCGATTAAGGCAAATTTCGGTGAATAGGAGGTGCCGTTATATAGGGGACCATTACTGGTTATTCTTGGCAGGAATGTGTGCTACCCAATTAGAACCAAAAGTACCAAATAACAGCAAATCCGGTTGAAAACATTCCCATATACCCCAAAATACAAAATTGATCAGTTTTTGTAGGAAGATGTTTAGTCCTATTAGAACCCAAAGTACCAAATTACAGCCAATCAGGTTGAAAAACTTGTCCCTAACATACCGAAATTTGAGAAGTTGGTCCTCCTCATGGGGGCTATGCTAAATAGTGAAAAGGTGTATAACCCAATGAGAACCCAAAGTACCAAATTACAGGCAATTCCGTTTAAAATCTCGCCTATACTCCTCAAAATACCGGAAAATATGAGGTACAGTTATATGGCGGCTATGCTAAAAAGTGGACCAATATTGGTAATTTTTGGTGGGAAGATGTGTTACCCAAAGTACCAAATTAGAGTCTATTTGATTGCAAAACATGCCAAGAAACTGAAATTTGGGAGGTAGCGCTATATGGGGGTTTTACTAAAACGGGGACCGATATTAATAACTTTTACTAAGAAGATGTATAGCCCTATGCGAATCCCAAACACAAGTTTACAGACAATTCGGTTTAAAAAATACCGAAATTTGGGAGGAACCGTGAAATGGTAGTTATCCCAAAACAGGGGCCAATATTGATAATTTTTGGTAAGAAGATGTATAGCCCTACGAGAACCCAAAATACCAATGTACAGAAAATTTGGTTGAGACAGGGGCTGAAAATTTCAATAATACCGAATATTTGGGAGTCACCATTATATGGGGGTTATGCTAAAAAGTGGACTAATATTGATAATTTATGGTAGGACGATGTACAGCCATATGAGAACCCAAAATGTCAAATTGCAGACAAATCGATTGGAAAACGAGCAAAAATCTTAAAGTACGGAATATTTGGGGGTACCAAAACGTGGACCTATATATCCAGTTTGCAATACCAAACATTTTAGAAATACTACGAATATCCTGTCCTGTCCAAAATTTCACAGTTCTATATTTTTATTTCGATCTTTGGTAGACTATTCAACATTTCATGTCGATCGGAATGATGTGAAGCGCGATTGGATGAAATCATATGAAATTATATATTTGCAGACACATGTTATCAATCTATAATTTTTAAGCTACTTACATGTTTACTTCTCGAACTATGATGTATAGCACCCGGTGAACCACTGGCTGCTGCCACCGATGCTGCTGCTGCAGCCGATGTTGATGGAGCCTCAAAACTAATACGTGCACCACGATGATATTGTGGCGTTGCACTCAGTAGATCATTTAAAATGTGAATAACGGTGGATATATCACGTTTCGGACGTCCATATCTGTCCTGCAGAGCTGGATTTAATGTACCCGAAAATGTTCCCGAATATATACCTTTACCGTGATTCTTCATTGATTCAATAACAGCACCGGAACCACTTTTACGTGGTGTCTCTTCGCTGGCGGAGAAATCTATCTTATTGGTGAAAACTTCTTTGGATAGTTTGCGCAGTGTTTGGGTGAGATTACGTGAGGCCTCGGCCAGGGTACGTGAATCGGAAACTATACCAGATTCATCTAATTCTATGGGAGTTGCTGGTGTTGGTGGTGGTGTTGATGTGTTGGCTGCCACCGCCATAGGTGTTGTTGTATTTGATGATGAAGCGGAGGCCAAGGGGGCGCTAATCATTAGAGGTGAGCTGTTGTTGTGGGCGGCAGCCATTGCCGGTGATGGTTGCACGGCTGCTGAGGGTGTTGTAGTACTCATTTTGGTCTTTATTGGGGTTTGTGTTGAATTGTTTAGGGTATCGTCACTGGAATTGAAACCACTATCATTTGAAATACCTCCACGAGTGGGTGTTGTGGACGAGGAGGAGGATAGATTTGATTGCAACTTTACATTGTTGCCATTTTGTACTCCAGGGTGGTGATAGTGATGATGATGGTGGTGGTGATGATGATGGTGACGATGCTTACGGGTAATTGCATTGTGGGCTGTTTTGTGTAGCGATGATGACGACGACGAAGAACGTGACGTAGAAGACACCGCTGAGGAAGAATTGCCGGCAATATTTGTCAAGGCTGGTGGAGGGGTTGTTAAAACACCGGAATTGCCAGAATTAATTGATTTATAATTTGGTGTGCTGGTCATAATAGAACTTGTTCGGTGTTGTTGTTGTTGCTGATGTTGAGCCAATTGTGGTGTCTGCGATGTAATGCATGCCGACTCAATGCATTGTTTGGAGCTAGCATGGCTGCTGCCAGCACCGCTACCTCCATTAAGTCTGGTACACAGGCAGGAGGTTAATTTGGCTGCAATTGGATCTTGACAGATTGGTGTTGGCGGTTGTGCTGGTTGTACTGCTGCATTTGCGATATTATTAGAACTTAAAGCCGTTGTATGTGGACCCAGGGCCACTGAATTGGAGGAACTGTTGTTGTTGCTATTCGAAGATGAAGCTATACGGGGAATGTGTTTAATTGATGTGGTCTTAATGGGGCTTGAGACTAAATTAGATAAAGATTTAATGGGTGATTGTTCCAAGAGAACAGCCTCAGTGGTGGAGGGTGTGTGGAAGGGTGATGCCACGGGAATTGCAGTTGTAGTCGAGGTTTGGTTTGAAGGTTGTACAACAGCCGAACCAGCCGAAGAAGCATTTGTGGTAATTGCAGGTGTCAGAGGTGAGGGCTGGGCCATAGCAATACTCTTGACAATATTTTGTAAACTCTCATAATCCCGTTTACTCAAATATGAACTGAAATCGGAATTTTTAGTGTGTATTGCAGCAGCATTTCCACCATTGACCGATGATGAGGAAGAGGATGTTGCAACTGATTGCACGGCCAAAGGAGTTGTCATTCGAACCGTTGTTGTTGGTGGGGCGGCAACATGTTTGGCACCAACAGCACGTTGTGTGGTATCCATTTCTAATTTTCTGACAGCAGCATTTGGGATGGAAGTAACACCTGGTCCTCCAACTCCATTGGCATTGGATGAGGCAATTGATCCTGGTATCACCCCATTGTGATGATGATGGTGGTGGTGATGATGTTGATGGCTGCCATTTTGGTTGGATGTTGAGGATGAACCTGATGACGACTGGGCTGTTGCTGCCGACACCGCAACTGATGATGAACCACCTACAGCAGTTTGTGTCGATGCACTACGACTGCTACTGCTGCGATGATGATGGTGATGATGATGATGACTGGAACGTGTACGTGAGGAACTACTACCGCTGCTACAATTCGCAGCATTGTGATGAGCAGCATTGCTGACAGGATTAACCGTGCTCAATTGGAGCTGTATCAACATCATGTGATCACCGAGACGCATACTCAAATTCAAGGGCGTCTTGCCGCTTAGAAAATCATTGACTTGGGCGTCATTGAGGGATTCAAGGGCTTGCATGACGGTATTCTCGGGACGTTGTGCCTATAAAGAGATGGGAAAATAGAAGGTGATTAATTAATGAATTGAAAAAATATATTAAGAGAATTTTCGGATTTTTATAAAAAAAAAACTAAAAATAAAAAGAGGTATTTTTTGGTATTGAAAGGAAAAATTATGTTTTTGAGATTAGCGAAGATATGCGCACAATAATATGAGCCGAATGTCCAGCACCAGGATGTTTTTTGGACCATATAATTTTCATTAAAACCCCCCAAAAGCTGATAGATAAACGAATTTTAGGTTTGAGATCTTGAATCGATGACCCAAAGAAAGAATTTGCAAGGTGTTAGACCCCACAATTGCACTGTGGTAAATTGTGACCATATCGATTTACAGAATTCACTGTTGCCGAAATCTAAAAATCGGACACTTTCTGGGCCATATATTTTTTATGAAAAATCCCCAAGACTGATTGAGATCTTGAATTGATGCCCCAAAGGAAGACCCCACAATTGTGCTCATATCGATTTACAGAATTCTCAGAATCTTCTGTTGCCGAAATCTAAAAAATCGTTTTCACATCCCTGTATTTTTCAACAATTCAAAATGTTTTCAAAGCAATTCAAGCAAAAAGAAGATCAATGTGTTCTCGCGCGGGACGATAACATATTACACCAGCAAATGACATTGACATTGACCCACCTATATAAAATGCTACGCCATGGGTTTTTACGACTCGTAATTTTTTCGCAACAATATGTCTCTATATAAATGTGTGAGTGAGTTTTGTAAATAAACATTGTAATTGCGTTGTATTTCAAGTCAAGTATTTACCGGCTCCTCGCTCTGCATATATCCAAAATTTGAAAAAATATATATAATTGGCGGGGTAGCACCACTACCAAAATCGTAAAACCAAACAAAGATTGGACGTCTGAGATATAAACAAAAATATCTCTCCTCCTCCTGTCTATGGGTTTCCTGTCCTGCTGCATCATGTCAAGTGGGCGTCCGCCCCACCAATACCCACCACAGATCCTACCCCCGCATTTGAAGCGATTACATTGGGAAAAAGTATGCCAGCCAATGTGCGAATGAAATTAATTTCACATACCAACTGACTACCCGACTGATTGACTTTATGTCACACTTAATTAAAAGCTCATTTGTTAGCATGCAAGTAAAAGTGATCTATAAAAAGGATGATGCAAGAAGAACAGTGGATACAGTGCACATTCATTGTGCACATTCATTGTCGTTACTACCAGAATGTTTGGTATTGAAAATGGTATATATCGGTCTACGTTTTAGGGTAGACCCATTAATAGTAAGCCAAAATATTCGCAATTTTAGTCATTTGGGGCACCATTTACAATCGATTTTTCAACCAAACTGGCTGTAACTTGGTACTTTGGATTGTCATTGGGTTGCAAAAACCCTTACCAAATCATTTTGGGCACCATTTTCAAACAAAGTGACTGTAATTTGGTATTTTAGATTCTCATGGGGTAGCAGAACTTCTCACCAAAAATTATGAATATTGACTTAAGTTACCTAATATGCCGCATATAGAGGCACCTCTTATTTTTCGTTTTTTTCTTTTTTTTTTGTGATTTTGTGATGAATTGACAAGCGTTTGATATTTTCACTGACTGTCAATATTTTTCAACAAAAATATTCCTTGACATATCTTCTTGTCTAAAAGCCCCGATCGATTTTAAATGTTTCGAATTTGCATCTCATGGTAGAGGTCATGGTAAAAAGTTCGGCTCGTTCGAACTTAACGACTTCTTTACTTGTTCTACATTAAACGTGGAGTTTCTATAGAAGAAATCTGCAGTCTCCAGTCTTTGTAAAAAAAATTACAGTCCCGGAGGTCAGTGTTGTGCCTATAGGAGAGAGTTATGGAACGATTTTTATATAAGAAAATTATATTTCATTAGAAAGAAATCTGCTGGAGGGTCTGTGAATTTTTGTAATAGAAAAAAACTAATAGCCTCAACGAGGAAATGTGAATTTTTTTCTATAGCAAAAACTTGCAGCCCCAAATAGGGTCCAGATTTTTTTTATAGAAAAAACTAACAGCCTCAGGGAGGGTCCATGAATTTTTTCTATAGCGGTTCTACATAAAAGGTCTGCTTTCTATAGAAGAAATCTGCAGTCTTTATGCTGTCATTGTAATGTCTTTGTGAGTAGAAAATAATTTACTGTCCGAAGGTCAATATTTTGACTATAGAAAAATTTTAGTAGTCATTAGGAACGTTTTTTTTATGGTTGATGGAGAGAGTTATGTGGGGCTATGGAGCGTTTTTTATAAAAAAAAGTATTTCTAAAGAAAAAAAAATCGGCCAGGGGGTCTATGATTTTTTCTATAGAAAAAAAAGCTAAAAGCCCAAAAGAACGGTATTTGAATTTTTTTCTATAGGAAAAACTGCCCCAAAGAAGGTCGTAATTTTTTTTATTTTTATTGAAAAACTAACAGGCCCAAATAGGGGTTCTACATGAAATGAGGCTTTCTACAGAAGAAATCTGGAATTTCCATGATAATGACTTTGTGAGTGGAAACAAAATTTAGTGTCCCGGAGGTCAATGTTTTGCCAATGGGGCACATTACATTGTCAATAGGACAGTTTTTTTATGGTGGATGGAGAGAGTTATGGAGCGATTTTTGTATAAGATTATGGAATTTCTTTAGAAAAAAAATCAGCTGGATGGTCTGTGAATTTTTTCAATAGAAACAACTAAGGATGACATGTGCATTTTTCCTATAGAAAAAACTGAATTTTTCTATAAAAAAACAGCAACCCCAAGGAGGGCCTGCAAATTTTTTCTATAGAAACAAATTAAGAAAACAACCGCAAGGATGGTCTGTGAATTTTTTCTATAGAAAAACACCAACAATCCAAAGCAGGGTCTGTGAATTTTTTTTTCTATAAAAAAAATTAACAGGCCCAATGGGTTTTTAATTTAATTTTTCTAGAAAAAAAAGAAAACCCTAAGGAGTGTCTGTGAATTTTTTCTATAGAAAAAAAAAAACTAACTGTCCCAAGGAAGATCTGTGAATTTTTTTCTAAAAAAAAAAACAATAACCCCAAGGTGGGTTTGTGTATTTTTTCTATAGAAATTAATTCAGAAAACAACCCCAAGGATGCTCTGTGAATTTTTTCTATAGAAAAATATCATCAGCCCAAAGGAGGGTCTGAGATTTTTTCTATATAAAAAACTAACAGACCCAAGGGTTTTCAAATTTTTTCTAACCCATTTGAATTTTTTCTATAGAAAAAAACTAACAGTCCCAAGGAAGGTCTGTGAAATTTTTCTATAGAAAAAAAAACCAATAGGCATTTTGCATTTTTTCTATAGAAAAAACCCAACAGCCAAGGGTATTTAAATTTTTTCTATAGAAAAAAACGCAGTCCTATAGAATGTAGAATCTTTAGAAAACTTTGTGTGATTTTTTTAATTTTCTTGTTTTAAAAATTGTCTTCTTCTTACAATTTAAAGGTAATTGAACTTTTGCCTATAATATTGTAAAAAAAAATAATATTGCTCTTATTTTGTTATTGTTGTTATTCTTATTATTATTGACGTGAATATCTCAAATAACAATGACAACAAGAGCAGTAGAAACAGCAGCAGCTACAACAACAATAACCGAACCACTTGAGTGATTCCTTTGTGTGCCTGACTGGCCTGGGCTCTGTAGATACAAAACTTGATTTGGTTGGGTTGCCCTTTGTTGACATTTTGATAATTATAAAGAACCAGAAGAAGAGAAGAAGAAGACGACGACGACGAAAACAATAACAACAATGACAAAGTAACAGTAGATTCAAAGAAAAAAGTAAACATTGCCTTCTTCCGATAGAAGGCAACAACGTATCAAGTCCAAGAAATGTCTGTCTTTGTATTTACACTGATATTTTAATCAAAGTTGGGGTTTAATTAAATTATTTGGATATGTCAGATCCATGGGAGTAGACTTTAAAGAAGTGGGGATTTTTTAGAGAAAAGGGTTTTTTTAATTTAGAAAAAAAAGTTGTGAAGTGGATCAAGTTTGCCTCAGCACATTAGAGACAAAATTTTTTGTTCTCAGAGAATTAAGGGGTCTCAAGATCGTAACCATTAAAAAATATAATCTCGGATCAACAAAAAAATCTGCTAAGCTATTAGGGGTTTTCTTATTCATAAATGCTTCTATATACCCCCAATGTAAATGAGGCCCATAGGTGTGTGTCCCACCATCATATATACATACATACTCAGCTATTCGAAAAATGCTACAACAACTTATTCAGTGGCAGACAGCTACGTGAGGTAATGTAATGAAAATTGCGTCACTTCTCTAGTTGGAAAAAAAAATATATCGCACATTGTGGAATAAAAACAAAATAGCAAAGTAAACGAAAGGTGGTCCGGTCCGGCCAGGTCTATGCATATATGCCACATACAAACACATACATATTTTTTCTCCATATATAAGATGATGGGCAAAAAAAAAAAATAGCAAAACAAAAACAATTGGCGGTAAATATAAACAAAAACAACAAAAAATCAGTAAATAAATACAAATCATTAAAGGGACTTAATGAAGTTTAGGTTGGGGCTAATTTTGTTTACTATATAAAAATATATATTTTTTATTAAATTGTGGAATTTTTTTTTTCTATTGGAAAAATAGCACCTCAAGGATATGGTTTTATACCACCCACCCTAGTATGGGGGATATATTAAGTTCGTTTTTCCTTTTATAAATCATCGAAATAATCATTTCCGATATATATTCTTGATCAGCTTAAAATTCTATGATGATTTAAGCATATCCGTGTGTCAGTTGTAATCATTTGAGCATCTAAACGAATTGAGATTGATCACCAAAATTTTGCATACAGTTGTCGTTTGTCTGCAGGCAGGTCAATTTCGAAGATTGGCTATGTCGGTCGGTCCACGTTTAGGCATGCTCCCATATAAGTGTATCCCGCAATTTTCAATATTTTTTGATTCTTGATCACATTTTCAACCGAATTCGCTGTAAATTAGTA